TGTTGCACAACCAGGTGGCGCTGCCACCCACAGGGAAGCAGCCAAATCCCGTAAGTATAGAGAACTGGATCACCACTACAATTTTGTCCCCATTGCTTCTGAGACGCTCGGCGCCTGGGGTAAAAGTGCTACCAGTTTTTTGAAGGAACTGGGTTCTAGGCTCATTGAAACAACAAGGGACCCGAGAGCTGCAAGCTTTCTTTTCCAGCGCCTCAGTGTGGCGATACAGAGGGGAAATGCGCACTGCATCCAGGGTTCCTGCCCGCCATCTGAGGAGCTGGAGGAACTCGACAACCTATGACAACCATCTTTGTAACCCATATGTAACTCCTTTTTTGTAACAAAGTTCAAATAAAGTAAATATATATGTGTACATACAAAAGAATGGGGGTGGTAGGAGAAGATAATATTAGTGTTCAGTGAGAAGCCACAAGGTCTCCTCTGAATACTTTTTATTTTCTTCTCCGAGGCTATGGGTCCCCACATTGGCACCAGAGGTGGTACCCTCACAAAATTTTATATATATATATATATATATATATATATATATATATATATATATATATATATATATATATATATATATATATATATAAACACATATATATACACACACATATATAGTGTGTGTGTGTTGTTGTTGAATATAACCGAAAGGGTAGGAATAATGATTCTAACACGAATCTTCTCAATATTTCTTATGTTATTTTTCACTGTCGAAGGTAATTGAAAAATCAACTCTCCAAAGTTCATTTTCACACTTTATATATGGTCTGACGCCTAGAAGCGTTTCGCAAGACAGTTCTTACATTTTCAAATGCAATTTTACATCCTCTGTTTCATGCTTATATTCGTTTTGGGTGAGGTGATAGGGCACAAATCAATGGGTAAAGTCAATTTTTCATACTCTGTTAAAACTTTTGAGGCGAGGTGATAAAACAGAGAACACGAATCAATGGGAACATTCTATGTTTTTATCTTCTTGCTTCTGTGTTGGTTCGGGGTCTTGAAGTGGGTAGAATGTAATTATGTGTTAATTGGCCGTTGATTGCAGGTGTTGACTTTTTGATGTGTAGTGCCTCGCTGATGTCGAGTCTCCTGCTATCGCTGTATCTATCGGTGATTTCTGTGTTGCTTGTTACGATTTCTCTGGTGATGGTCTGGTTGTGAGAGATTATATGCTCTTTGATGGAGCCCTGTTGTTTGTGCATTGTTAATCGCCTGGAAAGAGACGTTGTTGTCTTGCATATATACTGGGATCTTTGGGGCTTACAGTCCCTAAGTGGGCATGTGAAGGCACAGACGACGTTGGTTTCTTACAAGGCGTTCTGTTTGGTGTCTGGAGAGTTTTTCATGAGTAGGTTGGCCGTTTTCTTGTTTTTGTAGTAAATTGTCAATTGCATCTTCTGATTTGTGTCTGTGGGGATAACGTTCCTATTAATATCCTTCAGGACACTTTCCTCCGTTTTATGAGCCGTCGAAAAGAAGTTCCTGTAAAACAGTCTAATAGGGGGTACAGGTGTTGTGCTAGTTAACTCTTCAGAGGTTGTATGGTATTTCACATTTCTTTTAATGGCGTCTTAAACATAACCATTAGAGAAGCCATTGTTGATTAGGACCTGCCAGTCTGTATGTGGGCGTGGGTATCTGGCTGATGATTGGCCGAAGTTGGTTTCCAGGCTTATGGGTCTTGACATTCCCATATGTGTATTGGATGTTGTTCAACAACATATGTTTACAAGAAAGACTGTGTTTACAAGATATGTTTAATATGTAACCATATATTTAATATGTAAACATATGTTTACAAGAAATGTGACAGTGTCAGACCACGAAGGAAGAATTGAAACAGGACAATATACACACACACATTCACACATCTTAGCACTATATTCCCAAGATACTCTTATTTACCTTACACACACAGGGATGATATGTTAAACACGCATTAAAAACAATAGACTATAACCTTAGATCACACAGGACTTTCCCACGACCAGACAACCCCCCCCCCTCCCCCCTCAGGCTCTCTCGGTGATAACTTTGGGATTTCCTGCTGACAGACATGTTGAAGCTTCCCCTCGGTGGAACACATGTCCAGGCAGTCACCAGACATAATGACGCTTCCTTGGCCAGCCAATCAACACACTGACCCTCAGTGTGTGTGTGTGTGTGTGTGTGTACTCACCTATATGTACTCACCTATATGTGCTTGCAGGATCGAGCATTGACTCTTGGATCCCGCCTTTCTAGCTATCGGTTGTTTACAGCAATGACTCCTGTCCCATTTCCCTATCATACCTAGTTTTAAAAGTATGAATAGTATTTGCTTCCACAACCTGTTCCCCAAGTGCATTCCATTTTTCTACTACTCTCACGCTAAAAGAAAACTTCCTAACATCTCTGTGACTCATCTGAGTTTCCAGTTTTCTGTGTGTGTGTGTGTGTGTGTGTGTGTGTGTGTGTGTGTGTGTGTGTGTGTGTGTGTGTGTGTGTGTGTGTGTGTATTCACCCAGTTGTATTCACCTAGTTGTGCTTGCGGAGGTTGAGCTCTGCTCTTTCGGCCCGCCTCTCAACTGTCAATCAATCAACTGTTACTAACTACTAACTAACTTTTTCACACACACACACGCACCCAGGAAGCAGCCCGTAACATCTGTCTAACTCCCAGGTACCTATTTACTGCTAGGTAACAGGAGCATCAGGGTAAAAGAAACTTTGCCCATTTATTTCTGCCTAGTCCGGGAATCGAACCCGGGCCACAGGATTACGAGTCCTACGCGCTGTCCACTCAGCTACCACACCCCCTGGTGTGTACCCAGACTCCCCTGTGTGTGTACACCCAAGGTCACCAGAGACCTTATGTCAGTGTATACTATGATAAGCCACATACAAATATAGATTTTAACGAGGTTATGGCGATTATTTACCGACACAGTAAAAGACAAGTTCCATCACCCTCCCCATAACCCCAACACGACGGCTATACTGGCTGCCTTAACACACCCTCCATCTGGGACCCCTCCACCTGCGACGTGCACCACCCCACGTGCTGCTGGGATACCAAGACGTGCACCAGCCCACGTGCTGCTGGGATACCAAGACGTGCACCAGCCCACGTGCTGCTGGGATACCAAGACGTGCACCAGCCCACGTGCTGCTGGTATACCAAGACGTGCACCAGCCCACGTGCTGCTGGGATACCAAGACGTGCACCAGCCCACGTGCTGCTGGGATACCAAGACGTGCACCAGCCCACGTGCTGCTGGGATACCAAGACGTGCACCAGCCCACGTGCTGCTGGGATACCAAGACGTGCACCAGCTCACGTGCTGCTGGGATACCAAGACGTGCACCAGCCCACGTGCTGCTGGGATACCAAGACGTGCACCAGCCCACGTGCTGCTGGCATACCAAGACGTGCACCAGCCCACGTGCTGCTGGGATACCAAGACGTGCACCAGCCCACGTGCTGCTGGGATACCAAGACGTGCACCAGCCCACGTGCTGCTGGGATACCAAGACACGTGCACTAGCTCACGTGCTGCTGGGATACCAAGACGTGCACCAGCCCACGTGCTGCTGGGATACCAAGACACGTGCACCAGCCCACGTGCTGCTGGGATACCAAGACGTGCACCAGCCCACGTGCTGCTGGCATACCAAGACGTGCACCAGCCCACGTGCTGCTGGCATACCAAGACGTGCACCAGCCCACGTGCTGCTGGGATACCAAGACGTGCACCAGCCCACGTGCTGCTGGGATACCAAGACGTGCACCAGCCCACGTGCTGCTGGGATACCAAGACGTGCACCACCCCACGTGCTGCTGGGATACCAAGACACGTGCACCACCCCACGTGCTGCTGGGATACCAAGACGTGCACCACCCCACGTGCTGCTGGGATACCAAGACGTGCACCAGCTCACGTGCTGCTGGGATACCAAGACGTGCACCAGCCCACGTGCTGCTGGGATACCAAGACGTGCACCAGCCCACGTGCTGCTGGGATACCAAGACGTGCACCAGCCCACGTGCTGCTGGGATACCAAGACGTGCACCAGCCCACGTGCTGCTGGGATACCAAGACACGTGCACCAGCCCACGTGCTGCTGGATACCAAGACGTGCACCAGCCCACGTGCTGCTGGGATACCAAGACGTGCACCAGCCCACGTGCTGCTGGCATACCAAGACGTGCACCAGCCCACGTGCTGCTGGGATACCAAGACGTACACCAGCCCACGTGCTGCTGGGATACCAAGACGTGCACCAGCCCACGTGCTGCTGGGATACCAAGACGTGCACCACCCCACGTGCTGCTGGGATACCAAGACACGTGCACCACCCCACGTGCTGCTGGGATACCAAGACGTGCACCACCCCACGTGCTGCTGGGATACCAAGACGTGCACCAGCCCACGTGCTGCTGGGATACCAAGACGTGCACCAGCCCACGTGCTGCTGGGATACCAAGACACGTGCACCAGCCCACGTGCTGCTGGGATACCAAGACACGTGCACCACCCCACGTGCTGCTGGCATACCAAGACGTGCACCAGCCCACGTGCTGCTGGGATACCAAGACACGTGCACCACCCCACGTGCTGCTGGGATACCAAGACGTGCACCAGCCCACGTGCTGCTGGCATACCAAGACGTGCACCACCCCACGTGCTGCTGGGATACCAAGACGTGCACCAGCCCACGTGCTGCTGGGATACCAAGACGTGCACCAGCCCACGTGCTGCTGGGATACCAAGACACGTGCACCAGCCCACGTGCTGCTGGCATACCAAGACGTGCACCAGCCCACGTGCTGCTGGGATACCAAGACGTGCACCAGCCCACGTGCTGCTGGGATACCAAGACACGTGCACCAGCCCACGTGCTGCTGGCATACCAAGACGTGCACCAGCCCACGTGCTGCTGGGATACCAAGACGTGCACCAGCCCACGTGTACGACGCCATGCTGCCTCCAATGCATTATATAAAAAATCTAACCATTTCTAACATCTTCTAAGACAACTTTATATTAAAATCAAATTTATTTATATAGCTTTATACATCCAAGTACCACTGTTTCTACACAGAGTAGTAAGGAAGACTCGGCCAAGATTACAGTTATCTGCAATAGGGTGATAGCGTGCACGAGGGCTCCCCTGCGGGCGGCTTGGTGCATAGGGTAAAGCAACTCCAGCAACAAGCAAATCACCAGCCCGGATCTCATCCAGAAGTTATCACCACCAAGCATCCCGTCAGAGGGCCAGCATCCGCCCCACTTATCTCACCTGTGGCACCTGGGCACCTGTGGCACCGGTACACCTGGGGCACCAGTACACCTGGGGCACCAGTACACCTGGGGCACCAGTACACCTGGGGCACCAGTACACCTGGGGCACCAGTACACCTGGGCACCAGTACACCTGGGGCACCAGTACACCTGGGGCACCAGTACCCTGGGGCACCAGTACACCTGGGGCACCAGTACACCTGGGGCACCAGTACCCTTGGGCACCAGTACACCTGGGCACCAGTACTCCCCGCTGGCCGCACAAACACAACCAACGTTGTCACTTAAACTCTACAATCACTCAATGATTTCCAATTTCATCCAATCATCATAATACGCGTCGTGGCAGCAAATGAATGACCTAACTATACACAGTAATTAAGGTATGGTTTACCATTGTTGGGGACAGGATGCGTGTTAAGACTTATCAAGGTCCTTCTAGGCACCGGTTGACCCTCACCGGTAAAGACTGACTCCGGAGGACCTATTTACCGCTAGGGGAACAGGTGCATTAGGGAAAAAGTGCCCCAACTATTTATAACCCGCTCGGGAATCGAGTCCGCAACCCCCCGACAGTGGAGAGCGAAGCCCACTGTGCCACAGCACATGCCGTTGTAACGCGCGAGTGAAGTAGTATTATTATTATTATTAACATCTTTATTGACAAAATTAATTCCAATTTTGCCTAGTGTTACTAACCTTTGTCGAGGAGCCTAAACTTGCGGTGGACGAGCCTGGAGGAGGACGGGAGGAGGCGGTGGTGGGCGTGGTGGGCGGGGGTGTCGGAGGTGGTGGAGTGCTCGGTGAGGGTGTCAGAGTCGCCCAGGCTGCTGCTGGGGCGCCGGCGGTGGTGGTGGCGGTAGATGGAGAGCAGCAGGTCGTCCACTAGCGACCGCCTCCGCTGGGTGCTGCTGCTGCTGCTCCATCTGCTGCTGACGGAGGAACACGCGTTAATCTCCCACACATGACCACTCTCACCCTCCTCCCTGATCCAGTCTTCTCATTAACAATAATCACACACAAGACTAATAATAGTCCTCTGTGTGACTATTTACCAACGTCAAAACCATGATGGATCCGGTGTTTAAGGAAATCATCGTCAGCATGAACAATGATGGGTTTAATTCCCTCATGCGGCCTCGATATACATTTCAAACTCTCTTATGTCTGGGAAACATCTAACTACCTTTGTTAGGCTTACGGGAACACTTTAAATCGTTAACCTCTCGACATTTTGGCGGGGAAAACAAACCGTTGACTTTTCGAGCACCGAGTTACCTTAACTATTACATTTCTCTATAGCTTTGCTTGGAAAACGTGGCCTTTCTGATAACATATCGGAAAAGGAATATTTAGGAAAACTTAGAAAGCTACATCAAGTGTTGTAAAACACACTTCTTTTCCAACACTTAAGGTCTACCGTCTCTGGAGGGTTATAAATGTCATACCTTACAACCTACTGACCAATGTGCAAGTGTACATTAGCACACTTAAAGTAAACTTAATACATACACAACGATAAACGGAATATACCACTCTGTGTATTCATTAATTATATTCTCTATACAGCCTTCCCCCCCTAACATAGCCTATCTCCACTCAGGCTATTTATCTGAAAATGTCAATAATTTTAAACATTAAATTCTTGAACCTAACTTCCATAAAATAAAATGTATACTCAGTGAAATTTATATCAAATTTGTGTGGTTCACTATCCAAATCCTCATTAATCGTTTCGCCAAACAATAAGTGTGACCGTATCAGATAGGGTTGACTCCTGAAGTGAAGTCAACCCATATTCAACAGGACAGAGCGCGGAAGACGACACGGTGACGTAACAACCAAAAATTAATACACCAGAAGCTTGAGTACAACAAAGCGCAAAGGAAGTACCAGCCAAACAGCTACAGTTCCACAGGAAAAAATAAAACGGTAAAAGATCGCATTAAGAAGAGGGAGCAATGTAACAGGAAAACACAGCATGTAGACAAGAGGCTCCTGGTCTCAAAAGGCTTGTAAAACAGAACTAAAGTGGAATGTAATGGGAGAAGCTGTGGAAGCTACCTCCATTCATCCACCAACTTCAACACTGCTGCTGCTCACTACCAGTAGAGTGATAGCCAAGCCCTGATAGGTAAGCACACACACACCCCAAAACACAGCCACACCCATGTTATGGGTCGCAGACCACCTCTATCATTACCGGGGGAGGCAAGGAGGGGGAGTGATGGATCGGACAGGGAGACTAAGGGAGGGGAATGAATAGAACAGGGAGGGCGAGAAGGGAGTTAAGTCAAAAGAAGGTGGTGAAGAAATTAATCGAGTCGACCTAATAGAGTTGGTGGAAAGGGAAGAGAGCGATTGGTGGCATGGTTGTGTCGACTATGAGGTCAAGGTCGAGCAAGAACAGCCATATCCCGCCAAACACACACCGAAACTACGACGTTGGTACAACGTTCGAACAGGTATTAACACCTCCTAACCAGTTATAACAACCAATATAGCAAGTTGTAACAACGTTCTAATACGTCATAAATGCGTTAAGCCAAGATGTAACAACTTTATTACAAGTTGTAACAAGCGGAAAATAGAGACAGTTTCGGTTTGTGTTTCCAGGGATAAGGCTGGGTCACACTAGCAGGGTTTAATAAAGGAAGGTTGCTGTTATTTTGACCGACAAGGGTAAAAAGCATTCCCACAGGAAAGTAACTTGTGACATCAATGTCCCACTCATACACGATTCCATTACTGTAACTTTTGCACCAATATAGAGATAAGAATTAAGAACACCGCAGAAGGCCTATTATCCCAGGCGCTGCAGCTCCCATCATCCTGCTACTGTCATCAGTTATTATCATGATTACTATATACAAGCCTAACAAAGTTATTATCACAACACTACCGTCAGAGGAATAATAGAAGACGGCGTACGTCTGGGGGTGACTCAAGACACTGCTTCCATCTCGCGTTTTTCCCGTTCCAAACATTTTCTCAGTAAAACTTGTATGCGAGGCACATAAAGAATTAGACCCTACTTCCGCGTAGTCACTATTAAGTAATCGCTGCTATGTAAGAGTTCCCGGGCAAGAGCGCCCAGGTAAGAGTACCCAGGCAACAGCACCCAGGCAAGAGCTCCCAGGCAAGAGCTCCCAGGCAAGAGCGCCCAGGTAAGGGCTCCCAGGCAAGAGCGTCCCAGGCAAGAGCGTCCCAGGCAAGAGCGTCCCAGGCAAGAGCGTCCCAGGCAAGAGCGTCCCAGGCAAGAGCACCCCCAGGCAAGAGCGCCCCAGGCAAGAGCACCCCAGGCAAGAGCGCCCCAGGCAAGAGCGCCCCAGGCAAGAGCGCCCCAGGCAAGAGCGCCCCAGGCAAGAGCGCCCCAGGCAAGAGCGCCCCAGGCAAGAGCGCCCCAGGCAAGAGCGCCCCAGGCAAGAGCAGAGCGCCCCAGGCAAGAGCACCCCAGGCAAGAGCGCCCCAGGCAAGAGCGCCCCAGGCAAGAGCGCCCCAGGCAAGAGCGCGCCCAGGCAAGCACGCGCTCAAGCCCAGACGCCATCACAGGTGGTGTTCCCAGAGCCTCGCGCCTAATAACCATCTCACCTCACAAAGTTGTCACGTAAGGGGTCTCTACATGCACTCCTTCACCGCTAAAAATATACTCGTGAACTTTCACCAGAAAATATAAGATTACACATTTTACCTGCCACCAAATTGAAAATGAGCAAAATATATACCAGGCGATACTCCCTTTAATTTCAAATTCGAATAAACGCAGTAATATTTTCAATGTCGGAAGATTGACCCTTAATAGAGTTGGGTCTTAGAGTCGGAAGACTAAGACTCGACTCTATTGGGGAGTTAAATAAGTCTCACATTAAGACATGGGATCGAAGTCAACTTTCTGGTGCCTATCACCACATATAGTAACTATTTGGTGATAAGTGCAACCATTTATGACCACTTACAACCACTTTACAACCACTTGCCGGAAACGCTATGCGTACTAGTGGCTTTAGGTATTGTATGTACTAGCTCTATCTTTAAATTCCAACATTATGTTTGTAAATCATCTTCCATGTATGTACCTTTACCTGGATAAAAAAATCTATCTAATGTATCTATTTGAGGAAGACGGGCGGGGTTCCTGAGCCACACAAACAAATGCCGCGCGGCCGACCACCCGGCGTGTTGACGCCGCCACCACCACCACCATCCCGGCTTCAGTCATATCCCTTGATTACCGTCAACTTTGTTATTGCAGAAGTGAAACACTCTTCCCATTTGAGCTCTTAGTCAGGTGGGCTCTCCCCCCCAAGGTGGTGGGCTCTCCCCCCCAGGTGGTGGGCTCTCCCTCCCCCCAGGTGGTGGGCTCTCCCCCCCAGGTGGTGGGCTCTCCCTCCCCCCAGGTGGTGGGCTCTCCCTCCCCCCCAGGTGGTGGGCTCTCCCTCCCCCCCAGGTGGTGGGCTCTCCCTCCCCCCCAGGTGGTGGGCTCTCCCTCCCCCCCAGGTGGTGGACTCTCCCTCCCCCCCAGGTGGTGGACTCTCCCTCCCCCCCAGGTGGTGGACTCTCCCTCCCCCCCAGGTGGTGGACTCTCCCTCCCCCCCAGGTGGTGGACTCTCCCTCCCCCCCAGGTGGTGGACTCTCCCTCCCCCCCAGGTGGTGGACTCTCCCTCCCCCCCAGGTGGTGGACTCTCCCTCCCCCCCAGGTGGTGGACTCTCCCTCCCCCCCCCCCCAGGTGGTGGACTCTCCCTCCCCCCCAGGTGGTGGACTCTCCCTCCCCCCCAGGTGGTGGACTCTCCCTCCCCCCCAGGTGGTGGACTCTCCCTCCCCCCCAGGTGGTGGACTCTCCCTCCCCCCCAGGTGGTGGACTCTCCCTCCCCCCCAGGTGGTGGACTCTCCCTCCCCCCCAGGTGGTGGACTCTCCCTCCCCCCCAGGTGGTGGACTCTCCCTCCCCCCCAGGTGGTGGACTCTCCCTCCCCCCCAGGTGGTGGACTCTCCCTCCCCCCCAGGTGGTGGACTCTCCCTCCCCCCCAGGTGGTGGACTCTCCCTCCCCCCCAGGTGGTGGACTCTCCCTCCCCCCCAGGTGGTGGACTCTCCCTCCCCCCCAGGTGGTGGACTCTCCCTCCCCCCCAGGTGGTGGACTCTCCCTCCCCCCCCAGGTGGTGGACTCTCCCTCCCCCCCAGGTGGTGGACTCTCCCTCCCCCCCAGGTGGTGGACTCTCCCTCCCCCCCAGGTGGTGGACTCTCCCTCCCCCCCCAGGTGGTGGACTCTCCCTCCCCCCCAGGTGGTGGACTCTCCCTCCCCCCCAGGTGGTGGACTCTCCCTCCCCCCCAGGTGGTGGACTCTCCCTCCCCCCAGGTGGTGGACTCTCCCTCCCCCCAGGTGGTGGACTCTCCCTCCCCCCAGGTGGTGGACTCTCCCTCCCCCCAGGTGGTGGACTCTCCCTCCCCCCAGGTGGTGGACTCTCCCTCCCCCCAGGTGGTGGACTCTCCCTCCCCCCAGGTAAGCTCTCCCCCCCCCAGGTGGTGGACTCTCCCCCCCCAGGTAAGCTCTCCCCCCCCCCCAGGTAAGCTCTCCCCCCAGGTAAGCTCTCCCCCAGGTAAGCTCTCCCCCAGGTAAGCTCTCCCCCCAGGTAAGCTCTCCCCCCAGGTAAGCTCTCCCCCAGGTAAGCTCTCCCCCATGTAAGCTCTCCCACCATGTAAGCTCTCCCCCAGGTAAGCTTTCCTCCCAGGTAAGCTCTCCCCCAGGTAAGCTCTCCCCCCAGGTAAGCTCTCCCCCAGGTAAGCTCTCCCCCAAGGGGCTCTCCCCCCAGGTAAGCTCTCCCCCCAGGTAAGCTCTCCCCCGGGTAAGCTCTCCCCCAGGTAAGCTCTCCCCCCAGGTAAGCTCTCCCCCCAGGTAAGCTCTCCCCCAGGTAAGCTCTCCCCCCAGGTAGGC